GTAAACAAGTGAACGTAGACACGTAAACAAGTGAACGTAAACGACCTGTCCGCCCGGCACGACCGGTTAGGCAGCTCTGGCCAATCACCGTCGCGACATGACGTTCTAAAAACAACGCTCGGCTACGAAGTGCAACAGGTCGACATTCCTGTGTGCGCGCGTGTGTTATAAACACACGTGAACTGATCTAACCTGACCGACCGCGCAGCAGTAACTAAGGGTGGGCCGTGGCCATCACTATGAAGTGGGATACACAGATAAAACGCAGACTAAGCACGTAAATGCTGCACACCGCGTACGGAGAGTCGCGGAGTATTGCGGACCAAATTAGCAGCTACTTGCAGTCCGTTGCAAAATACACGGACTGCCACGTACACACACGGATTAACGACGGACTGCAAACGGACTGCCTGTTAATAATTACCTAACCTCGAGCTTCTGTGTTATTTATCATTTAGGCAATTGTTGACAGGCAGTCCGTTTGCAGTCCGCGGTTAGTCCGTCGTTAATCCGTGTGAGTACGTGGCAGTCCGTGTATTTTGCAACAGACAGTAGCTGCTAATTTGGTCTGCAATACTCCGCGGCTCTCCGTACGCGGTTTGCACCACTTACGTGCTTAGTCTACGTTTTATCTGTGTATCCCATTTCATAGTGATGGCCACGGCCCACCCTTAGTTACTGCTGCGCGGTCGGTCAGGTTAGATCAGTTCACGTGTGTTTATAACACACGCGCGCACACAGGAATGTCGACTTTCTGCGGCACTTTGTCGCTAAGCGTTGTTTCTAGAACGTCTTATCGCGACGGTGATTGGCTAGAGCTGCCTAACCAGTCGTGCGAGGCGGACAGGTCGTTTACGTTCACTTGTTTGCGTGTCTACGTTCACTTGTTTACGTTGACAGTACGTTCACTTGTTTTGCGGTCGCACGTGTTTTATCTGTATATATTCCATTTGATAGTGTATCTCGCTCAGACGGACAGGTGATATGTACGCGTAGTAGCAGACCGTCTCCTGGTACATCTCCTGGAATGCCCCCTATTAGCACAGCCCTGTATAGCTGGAGACCTTGAGGTTTTCAACCACCGTGCCAGGACCTGTGTGCTGCAGTGGCGAGGTCGAGTGCAGTGTAGTAACCAGAGAAGAAGAAGCAGACAGCTCGACAGGCAGACGACGTGCGGTCGCGCGGGGATGCCCCGGGGTACCGGCGATCGTGGCTTCACCTCCAGCTTCCCTGCCGCAGCCTCCCCATCATTAGCATCATAATCATTAGCATCAACATCATCATCATCGCCCGATCATCCGGTTAAAAAAACGAAAATGAAAAAACACGATGGACTAAAAACACAGGACACCGACACACTCTCTCTTTCTCTCCCCCCCCCTCTCTCTCTCTCGATCGACCACAGAAGATCGGCCCACCTTAAAACCATGAGACGCACAATCAGCCGGAAAGCGTTGACACCTTCGAGCGTAGGGCAGAGCGACGAATGCACGATCCTTCCGGTACCTCCTCGCTCTCGCTCGCTGCCATCGTTTGTCCTTACCTCCTCTCTCCACGCTCCTCCGTCGCCTCTGCAACCCAGCAATATTCACAACATGA